GAGAGAGAGAGAGAGAGAGAGAGAGAAAGGGTAGACACATGCGCACACACACACACAAAAAAATGTCACAGACATGCATATGCACTTAGACGTATCATTACGTGTGTGTGTGTGTGTGTGTGATTCTGTCCTCTGCATCCTCCTTTCGCCGCTTTGCTCCTACTTTTCTCATTGCTCAGATTTGCACACAAAAAAGGTATCTGTTGCATAGGACAAAAATTCACTTCCAGGGCGGGTGCAGAGGTTGGCATGCATGTGCACAAAAGCAACAACAACAACAAAACTTTCATGCACGCTCCGTCATGCAGTGACGTACTACTACTAACGGTGCTGGACTTGCTGCACAACCACAAGCACAACGGGTGTGGTGCCCATCATTCAGGCAAGTGTTTCGGCCGCTGTCGATGTGTGTCTGAGGATGACAGCGGGAAAGGACATTCCTTTCAATAATGGTCCGAGCGGCATTTTTCCAAACATCTCCACAGCGCCCGCTCGCCTGCTTAGCGGCCGAGAAGTCTCGTCAAGGAACAAATGGACGGATGAGGTTTGGTATTCTTGATAGATATGAACATATACGGGAGGCTGAATCAATTTTTTTTTTTGACGGTGGCTGCACCTTATGTCCGCCCATCTGGGTGCGAGACAAGAAAAGAGAAAAACGAAGGAGAACATTCAAGGAGTGCTTTTGTCCGTCATTTTGACGGAAGGCACTCACGTTGAATTCGTGACTCAGCCATTTGAGTGGTGTTTTAGATGCCACAAAAAGTTTGATGCTGCTGAATGTCGAGCTTTTTTTTGTGTTTCATTCACTCCTCCGTTGGTGTTTCCTCTGTGTGAGGCTCGTGATGGGCAGTTAAAATGCCCCTTCCTCTTCCCTTACCAGATATTCGTCTCATTCTGCGCATTGTGTGACTTTTTTTCTTTTCTCTGAGCTTGCGACAAGAGTGGGCTGGACTTACGGTCGTACGGCATTGACTTTACCCTTATCATATTATGTTATTTCGCACAACTGACTGCCAAGGGCGAGCTTGGCGAGAACCCACCCAGCCCTCTCCGCCCCGCGCGGGAGGCGGGTTAAAAACACTTTGAGCGCTTCCGTTTCGTAAGTAGGGAAAAAAAATGGGGGTTTGGGAATGTCTTGTTTCGGTGTAAAAGTGTGGGGGAAAAAACCGGTGCAGATCGAAGGAAAATTGATAATACGACTTTTTCCCAATCTCTTTTCTATATGGTCTCTCTTGGAGGAAATTACGGCTGGGACTATTCGTATTAACATGTTTCGTTCTTCGCTTCTGCCTTTTGTTTCTGATTTTCGTGATGCTGCACAGTGTTTGGTATTCTCTGTGGATGCCCCGGCAGCTTTTTCCACCATAAATGAGAGAGAGGGGGGTGGGGAGGGAGAGAGAGAGTGAGTAAAGTTTGGGAATCGAGTTGTAAGTGGCATCACTTTTTGATTTCCCTTTTCCCTTTTTGCGTTTTTTTTTTCTGGCGTACCTCATTGCGTGTGATACTTTAGGGCGAATTTTCTTCTTTCTCTCCCTGTGTGCACGTGTGCCTGCTGCGGGTCGGCTTCTATCACCCCCACGGGTTGCTGCTTCGTAGCGTCGCTTAAACTCTCGTTGTCTCTCTCCATTCTTTCAACGCCAACTGAGGTAGAATAAGGGGTAGGTGCACAGTAAGAAGAAAGTTTGACGCCGTAATGAGTAGCTCCACTCGAGGCCTCAACAACAGCGGCAATAACAGCGGCGGGGGGCAGCAGCTCCAGAAGCGCCGCATCAGTCTTAATCCAAAGGTACACGAGCACATCCCACCAGAATACATGCCGAACTTGGCTAAATATAAGTACTCGGGATCCGATTCCAGCATTGTTGGACGTTACATTATGCAGCCGTACTGGAGTTTCATTGTGAGTCTTGTGCCAATGACAGTGGCACCCAATGCGATAACACTCACGGGATTTTTGATTGGTGTTTCATCGACGATTGTGACCATGTTCTTCTACTATTTTAATGAAGCTATCTATCCAGCGTGGGTGTGGTACTACGCAGCCTTTGCTCTGTTTACGTACCAAACATTGGACGCTATCGACGGTAGGCAGGCACGCCGAACCCAAACTGTGAGTCCACTTGGTGAGCTGTTTGATCATGGATGCGACGCATTTTTAACACCATTAGTTCAGGTTAACCTGTGCTGTGCACTAAATCTACCACCATGTTTAGCCTTTTTTTACTGCGCGATGTCATCTTGTGTGCTGTTTTCCTCAATATGGGAGCAGTTCAGCACGGGTACACTGGATCTTGGCTACATGAATGGCCCAACCGACGGCATTCTTATAGCCTGCACCCTTTTTCTTATCACTGGTATGTATTCCCCAGCTGTTTGGGATACTGATGTAATTACCCCGTATGAGGTACCGCTGCCCTCTTATTTGGGATGGGGACCAGTGGTCATTTCATCGATTCGCAGCATTCTCTTCTTGTACGTTCTTATTGGTGGATTTGTTACCATAGCAACGAACATTATTCACGTGGTGCGAAGACCCAGCGTTCATGCAGGAGGATTGTCATTTGTTGTGGCACTCCCTATGCTCCTTATGCTGTTCCTCCACGTGTGCTTGTACTTGACATATGTCCACATACAAGGGAGATACCCATTCGCATTTGAGCTGAGTTTTGGCTTCTTAACGTCATATACGGTTACCCGAATGACGGTGGCAAGACTGTGTGCAATGCCGTACAATCTTTTCAATGCGTTCTACTTGATTTCATTGTGCGTTACTTTGGGGGCTCTTGTCATCCATGCGTACTTTGGCTGGATCGAGACCAAGTATCTGGAGCCGTCGCTCGGCTCGGCCATGGTTGCGTTGGCCGCTCTGGGGGTTTGGCAATACCTGCATATGATCCTGTCGCTCTTCACGCAGATCTCGTATTACTTCCAAATCCCCATACTCTCTATTGCCCCTCGGAAAGAGACAGACACCAAGAAGGACTGAGGTTGAGAACACGACGAAGTGGGGGGGGGGACTGTTCAACCTTTTTTTTTTGTCTGTTCTCTTGTTTAGCCTTCTTTCCTGCCCGGGCACCTGTGGTGTGGTGTGGATGAGCCTCGCATCTTCAGCATCACTTTCCCCCCTCGTCCCCCACTCACACACACACACACACAAGAAAGAAGAGACATGGAAGTGCACAATACGATGAATTACGTAATGTGGGGCTCGCTTTTCTGTTTCTTCTTTATTTTCCCACTGTGTGTGTGTGTGTGAGAAGGAGAGAGAGACTGTGTGTGAACACGTCTTTGCTTTTTATTCGCTTCTGGTGGCGGCTGTTGCCGAGACAGGGCTAGCGGTGCGTGTGTGGGAGGCGGGGGCATCTCCATGCTGGCGGCGGTGAGTGTGCCTGTGGTGGCGTGTGCGCTTTACCCCCAAGAGGGTTCAAACATAAAGAAGGGTTCACATACACACACTTCCAAATAAACACAAAAAAAGCAAGAAAGAGGAAAAGAAAAAAAAAAAAAGAAAAAAGAAGGGATGCACCAAAAACAAATGCACAAAGATGTGCGCATGCAAAACAAACGAACAACTCCCTTCCACTCAAAAAAAGAAAAAAAAACGAAAGAAGAAAAAAAGGCTTAAGCAATAAACCTGCTACCCACTCTACACTTGGGTGTATGTCTATGAGGGGTTTGGGTGAGGGGAAAGCAAGCACCCTCTGGGTGCTAAACTTACAGAACAATGGTGGTGATGATGATGATAGGTAGGGAGGGATAGAACGGGATGAGCCAAGTAGAACCGCAACATGTCAGGGGAGGAATGATTCTTGACAGACGGAGCTGCTGTGTACCCCCTGGAAGTATGTGCGGTGTCTTTTTCTGTTGTATGCACGTGATTTTGCGTGCGGTCTGTTGGAATCAACACTGTATGGCATTGTGTTTGACGCTAGCGGCTCTGCCTCCTTACCTTACCTTTCCTTTGTCTTATCCCAGCTCCCTTCTGTTGCTGCTTCTGCTCCACCACCCGTTGAGGTTTCCGCATCCTTTAAAACGACGAAAAAAAACATTACATTTCTTTTTCCTCTTTGTCTCTCTCTCTCTTCTTGTTTCATAAATGGGAAGTTTTGGTTTTAGCTCGAGGAACCAATAACGACATCAAGGGCTTGAAACGGTGCTCAAAGGGGAATTAAAACAAACGTGCGCTCGCATTCTCAGACGTACTCATAAAGAAGAAGTGGAAAGAGTGACCAGGGGAAACACGCGTTGGAGTTAATGTCGGGAAACAGCCTTCTTGGCTGTGTGGCTAATCGGGTGGCGCCGTACCTCTTGGTTGAGCAACGCGATGACCCTGACGCCTTTCTCCGGCATCTGCAGCTCGCCTCAGCACAGTTTATTTCTCGCTTCTCTGGAAGCGATAACATCTTGACTCGGTATACGCTACCAAAGGAACAGAGACAGACGGAAGCTGCAGCAATTCCCAAAGAGAAAAATTCAGAAGTGATAGTCTCAGTTGAAGAGAAGGAGATTTATGAGACATATCCACTACAGACGGCCCTTTGCTTCGCACCGGGGGAGAATGAATCGAGTAACCAGATGCATCTCTTTGAGTTGAACATATTTCGAGCGCTGTTGCGCCGTCCTCGTCAGGATTACGCGCACACTATGTTCTGGAGTGCTCTAATCGAGAAGCTGGAGGAGATAGATTTTTACAAACTCATGCAGACGAACATTGCGAGACTCTGGGCGGCGATCGCAGAGCAGCTACATGAGCCGGAGGCGTTGAACTGGCTGCGTGTCCTTCAGCTTTCTTGTGATGTTCTGCTGCTGTTCAGCGAGCACGCTGCGCGCCTTGTGCCCAGTTCGGGCGTGCTTCACGAGCTCACTACTTTGGCACAGACGATGTGGATAGACGATGCCCCTTTGATACTGCGCCGATGCGCCGTTTTGATTTCCGCTTTATTGGTAAAGTTCTCATCTTCTCTACCATTGGAAGTGTTGCGTGCTCAAGGTGCACGGAGCCGTGATGCACCTCATCAGTTGGCCGTCCTTGCCAACGTACCCGCGCTGTGTGAAAAGAGTAAAAATAGTGCCGAAGGACTCCGTATGGCGCTAGAGATTGTTTTCACGACAAGTGTGTACTCCATTCCCATCGCAGCGTACTTCCGCACTGACGGTGACATCTCATCCACGCTGCCCTTTGTGCAGCAGTGTGTTGCCTCTATTCTCCATCGCCTGATCGCAGCGGTGTCAAGCGAATTCTGGGGATACTTCTCGCAGGAGTCATTGCTCTCTCTGGTGGAGGCGTCAGCGACGTACGCCTGCCTGTGGGACTCACTTCCAGCTGGTATGCACACGCTACAGCGGCATATACACAGCCTCCTTGCAGAGAAGAGCAATGCCTACACATCTTCGTTGCTTATGTACTGCACGACCGCCTGCGCATATCACTGCCGCCTCAGTGAGCTGGAGGATGAAAACCCACTCCACGGTGCAGATGCGCCACGGCCCATCGTCGACGCTTCACTGGGTGTGGAGAGTGGTGTAGAGGACAATGGTGCTGTACATAATCACGCTACAGGAAACCTCACCGTGACGGCTGAGGGATCACCAGTGAAGAGGGTTTTTCGTCTGCTGACAGCAGGGTGGAGTTCTTTCCGTGGTGACGACCGGGTACTTGTGCGGAGTGCGCTTGCCCTTCTTCATGCGCTGCTCTGCAATTACCCACACGAGCTGAAGGATTTGGAGCGGTTGATTGGCCGCGATGTTCAATCACTGTTTCGTCACTTTGTCACCACGCTTTTGAAGGAACGTGCCGAGGATGCAAGCCTTGTCGAAGTTGTGTACCGCATGATTGCACAATTTCACGGGATGCTTGGCAATGTTGCTTACGTGGCTTCTAACATTCTCCTTCCTGACGTAATGAAGGGTGTGGGTTTACGCCATGAGACAACTGGGGTAGCACAGCTCCAGCTGCACCTGTACAACGCATTGCTTCAGGCCTATGAGGGTGTTTTGCCGCCTAGCAGAATTGTAGAGGCCATTATGCATATTCAACCCGGCGCTATTTCACGTCTTTCGTTGTCTATGCCATTTTTCGTTCAATGGTTATCGATTGTGCAGGCGACGCTGTTAGATGAAGCATGCCCACTTAGCTCACTGCTATCCTTTGGGGGGTCGCTAGGTAGGTTGATTCATTGTCTCTGCGAGGGAGCCTATGTTCTTATGCGGGAACTTCAAGCAGGGAATGTCATCCTCTGCGGTGCTCCAGTTGTGCCGCTCTTGGAAGTCGTGATTCGTATTCTTTCCGCTGCTGTTCTTGATGAGGGATGCCAAGATGTGTTGGCAACGTGTGTGATTACGGTACACGGCGAGAGCACCCTCTCTGCATGCTTCATGCTGTACTGTTTGCTGTTTTCTGCCAACGCGAAAGCCCCTTTGGTTGAGTCCACAGCGGGACTCTTGACGTACGTGGTGGAGAACTCAAAAGAGAAACTTTTTACCACCATGCGCTTTCACACCTCTACAGAGATGAAACGGAACCTATTGCTTGCTGTGTACCGACGGATGCAGCCACCGACGAGATGTGTGCCCGCCACAAACGTTATACGCTTGGCATCCCTTCGCTATCTTCTTCGCTGCGACCCCGCATCTTTTTTTTTCCTGGTGGTTCCAGAGGAGCTGGAGAAAGTACAATCGGGTCTGCCGCTCACACGCATCCTGCGCGACACGGTGAAATGTCACGAAGCCACAGCGTTGGAGAAGGCAGAAGCTCTTGCGTTGCTGAGAGCCCTCGACGACGTCGCCTTCTCTATTCCTGAAGTCACATCCCTGTTGTCGAACACTGAGTGTGGTTCAGCGTACACTCGAGCTGCCTTCACAGCAGCTGTGACGAACTACGTCTGCGGGGCCCTTCTTGGTGAACTTCGTACCGGTTGCAGTGCTTCAGCTAAATCCCCGGAGCGGGGACCGCACCGCAGCCCTAGCCGGCCACCAACACATCCTGCAAAGGGCAAGGTGATTGCAGCGCACCCAGAGGAAATTCATGTGATGATTGACGAGGGCTGCAAGGCGTTGTCGCAATGTGTGAAGTCCTGCCAATCGATAAAGAAAGAACTTCGGTATTCCGTCAGCGGTGAGGAATCGCTTTATACTACGCAAAGCCAAAGCAAGGATACGCGTCAGCTGATCGTTTCGCGGGCACCAAAAAGTGCATTATCAACAGTCGTCACTACTCGTCGCTATGGGGCACTTGCGGTTTCCGATTTTGCGTGGCAAGAGAAAACGAAAATCAAACCCCTTTTACTTGGTGATGGTTTTCTTTTAGAGGAAGGGGAGGGAGATGTGTACTTAAATCAAATGGCATCTGTTTTGGAGTCGACGATGCAGCTCACCCTGTCCCTGGAGACATTGGTGTGGCTGACATATGGGGAAAGGGACGCTTACCCTGTCTCAGTCAAGCTTCTAGAGATGGCGCTTGGTGGTACGCAGATGGTGGAGCCTACAGCAGCTCCGCTGCGGAGCTTGATGTGGTCCTGCTTGGACGGTTGGCTTGCACTTGCCCGCGCAGCAACGGCTGTGATTACGCAAGCCTCCTCCGATACTATAATCTCTCTCTCCACGAGTAAGCTAAATCCTCTTTTCCATCGCTTTGTGAAACTGATGTTGTGCCATCGTGGGAGCATTGAAGTTGTTTGTCAGGGATTGGGCATCCTGCGGATGTTTCAACCTTTCGATGCGGCTGACGAGGCGGCCTTGATAGAAATCTTCGAGCTTATTGCAGATGTTATGGAGAAACATGCCAGCATGGGACCCTCAAATGTACTCTTTGATTTTATTACAGAGAGTAGCGCTATTTATAATCGGTTGGGCAGTTGCTGTCCTCTGCGTTGCGCAATCCGTACACTGGAAAGCTTATGGGCATATGCAACTCATGTGTCGCATTTAATTCCAGCTACAGAGCCTGGTTCTTCTTTGTGTGATATTTTCGATCACGTTGTGGATGCCGTAAATAATGTTCTGCTACACTGTGGAGGTGTATCAATCTATTTCTCTCACAAGCATGTGATGGCGCTGGCTAATGCACTCGGACAATTTACTGGAGCAGCCTCATACAATTCTGTAGCGAATGTGTATGAGCCACAGGCGTGGCATCGAGCATGGCTTTCGGTGCTTGGTCTGTTGCACACGGTGCTGGCCAGCTGTGATACGGTGGGGCCCAATCAAACCGAGTGGTTGACAGCCATTTCCACATTAGCTACCACAAGCCCACGGTTTCGGGATGCTGTGTCTGGGTTTATGCTCTTCAGTACAACGCAGGAGCCAAAACCATTCTCATGGGAGCTTCGTGAGATGCAGGTGTGTATGTCGATCATCGCGTTACTAGCCAGTCTTGGAGTTTCTGTGGCTGCGATAACTCCGCTCGTGCGACGCTGTTTTTGTCGCATACGCCGCTTTCAGATCCAAACCATGTTGGCACCAGAAGGAGGGATGGACGAGCGATCCATTGAACTCCTACTTGTGACAACCGTTCGCCATCAGCTTTCCTACCTAATTCAGCAGCCCCCACCGCCCGTTTTTCTTGAAGATGACTCTGTCATTGTCACCATTGAGCGTTTCCATACTTCTGTGGGTAGTGCATCAATATCAACCAACGGGTTGCTACAACAACGTCGAGGAGTAGGTGACGAAACATCACAGCAGGAGGAGCAGTTGTCGTTCGATTCACTACGTTCCTTTATTCTGCGCGAACTGAACATAATTAGGAAAAGCCATCGTGACAGCTCTTGCGGTGCGAGCACCACTTTCTCACCGGAACATACTCCTTCGCTCCACTCCAGTTTTGGCGCCACCAGCGCCGAGAGCCTCGCTGAGGTCGATCTTCGTGAGGGTGGCTGCCAGTACATTGGGCCGCACATTGACAATGTCCAGCTGGCACTTGGTCTTTTTGTGCGGTACGCCCGGTTTCACTTGAACATGCGTAGTCTGAACCTTTGGGAGCGTCAGGAGCTCAGTGTGACGCTGGAGAAACTCCTGCATGCACTGAATCGATTGATTCACGATGTACGGCGTCTCGAGAACACCAGATTAACGTGGGTGCTAGAGACGGTGCAGGAGGATCTGCAGGGCCTCGCGGGGAACCTGCAGGGCTGCTGACGGAGAGGGAATAGGATAGGTTGCACCTCTCACGACTTACGCATGCACACAACACACAAGTACACACGCTGGGAGGTCCTTGAAGCGAGGAGAGATAAAAGCGTCGTTTAAACAAAACACCTGGAAGAGCGGCAGTTGCCGTACTTTTTTTTGTCTCGACTCTTCTGTTGTTGTTGTTGTTGTTCTTTCCGGTGTAAGTGAGTAGATGCGTGTATTTTTGCCTAAATGATCTGCTCCTTGTGCTAAGGAGTGCTCCGCTTTAAACGGAAGTCTTCATTTTCCCCACTCTCTCGAATCCTATTCTACAAGTTGCGGTAGCATAGGAGTGTGGTGTGTGATGTCTGCAGACCTCCTCACCCTACCGAAGGTCCTCCTCATGGGGCTGCGCAAGTCGGGGAAAAGCAGCATCCAGAAGGTAGTCTTTGAAGGCATGCAGCCGCACGACTCTGTCAATCTCCCCACAACTGTGCAGCCGGACAAGAGCACTGTGCATTCCAACGACTTTGTGAACTTTGAGGTGTGGGATTTTCCTGGTCAGTACGACCCATTTGATCCCAGCAATGCGGGCAGCTACGACGCGGAGCAACTGCTTGACAACTGTGGGGCGATTGTATTTGTGATGGATTGTCGTGAATTAATCGACGACTCACGCGCACGGTTGCTAGACACGGTGTATGCCGCATACCAGTACAATCCAGAGCTTTGCGTGGAGGTGTTTATTCACAAGGTGGATGCCCTCAGCGAGGACCACCAGACGGATCTTCTTGCCAGTCTGCAGCGTCGTGTCGAGGCGGAGGCGAAACAGCGGCTGGAGAACACCGCCCCACTGCGCTTAAACTTCAACCTCACATCCATCTACGATCACTCGGTTTTTCAAGCCTTCTCGTTGGTGGTGCAGAGGCTCATGAAACTGCAGTCTCCGTACATCACAGAACTCCTTCAAATGCTGAATAGCAACAGCAATGTGGACCTCTCCTATCTGTTTTTAAGTAGGTCCAAAATATTTTTGGCTGCGGATGAGCGTAATCGTGTTAAGTCACGCACATATGATCTCTGCAGTGACGCGATTGAAGTGATGGTGAAGATGAATCAAATCTATGACCCTTCTAATAAGAAGGAAGAGAATACACGTAATGTTGCTCTCGGCACAGTGAATGGCAGGGACTACATAAAAAGTCTTGAGTCGGCTGTTGGCGAGGGAGCCAACACCGTAATCAAACTTAGTAGCGACGACTGCATCTATGTGAAGGAGCTTCCCAACTCCCTCACAGTGGTGCTGATGCTGAAGAACGAGTCGTTTCTGAACAGAACACTCATTGACTACAACATTTCCGTTTTTTACAAGGCGGTGTTCGAATTCTTCTCTACAGCCTCCCATCACCAGTAAGATGCTCGGCAGTTGTGTTTGTGTGTGTTTGTGTGTGTGTGTCTGTTGAACGAGGAAGAAGGGCGATAAGAAGAGAGTGCCTCCTTTTGTCTCCATTTCCATTTGTTCTCAATGGTGCATTTTCCACAAGCATTTTTTTTTTTCGATTGTCTGAGGACGAATTGACACGGGCACTCTTTTTTTTCGTGTTTTTCTCCACGTAGGCCGCGTGTGTGTGGTGATAGTGAAACCTCAAGGAGGAATAAACAAAGGCACACCAATCCATATACAGACATACACATACATATATTCGCCAAGGGGTCGGAACGTAAGGAGAGAAAACGAAATAAAAAGAAAGTCCTTTGAAGATGGACATGGTCTTAGTATCCGTGGGCCCACTGTCCCCGTTCATGTTTGACTCTCCCCATGCGGAGTTGGTGCCACCAGGCTTCACACCCGGCTCCGTTGCGGACGCCATGCTGCACATCAGTGATCTAACACTTCGCTTCGACGTGCTCGCGAAGTCCATCGACAGTTCGTTCCACCCTGTGCGTCACGCAATGGAAAATCACCCCATTCATACACGTGCACTGCACAAGCGTCAGTTTGACGTGATGCGCTACGGTATGGTGTTGGATGAAGTGGAGCGGCTCGTCCTGGTGCCAATGCCACGGCTGTGCGGTGACAGCGGCATGAAGGTCTCTCAGGAATACGCCGCCATCTTTGGTGGTGACTTCAATCAGACGCCGTGCGCGTCGCACCCTATCCTGACAGAGTACTGCTTTGTTGTGTACCAGCTGCCGGCGAAGGATGAGGGGGAAGGGGCCTGTCCCACACCACTGTTCCGCCTTGTCTTTCGAAACGAGGCATTCAATGAACAGGTGAAGATGCATCTCGTAGAATCCTTTCCTCTATTTCGTCTGCGCTCTGTGTATGTGTCTCACACGAAATACTATTCCCTTCAACACCAGCTCAACTTGTACGCCAAGGCATCGGCATCCAGCGAGCGTCTACCTGATACTGCATTGGAGGAAACGCTGGGTATATCACCCCTGCGGTGGCTATTTGATGCGTGGCTGATGGTCTTGGAAGGCATTGCACCCACGTGGCTTGTGGACAAGGGAGTTGGACCGGACATCGTTACCTTGTTCCTCGCCTCACACCGCCCAGAAGGAAAATATGATGTAAAGGAGAGTTTGGAGGCTTACTCGCAACTGCCTGTAGACAATCGTGTACGATGCTCGTATTATGCAACTGGTGAACGTTTGCATCAGCGTGTTCATGTTATGGAAAGAGATCCTGAAATGATCAATAATTGGCGCAAAGGATCGTACGATATTCGTTTCTTTGATGAGGATGCGGTTGACTCTGAGCCAAGGGTGCAAGTGGCCCATTGCTTTCGCATACTCCTCTGCCGAAGGAAGCCAGGAAGAAACTATGTTGAGGATGATGAGATTGCTGCCTTTATACCAGAAGATGATGAGTGTAAACCACTACAGGTATACAACACATTGGCAGCAGAGCGACTGCGGTTGTGGGTTCTAAAGGGCCTTCTCACCGCTGAGCTGCACGGGATTCACTGTGTTATGATTGAGTTTGACACCGCAATGGTGGTGGCAAAATGTGTCGGGCTCCTTTGGGGTGGTGGAGAGGAGGACCGCCAGTGCGAAGTTGTTTTCCATGTGTGCAAGATTATTGTGGAAACGGTGGAGGACTACGTGCAACACAGTGGCGTTATTTGGCGCGCAATCATTGTCACCTCGGATGCGGACTCGCGGAAGGCGGCTAACCTCTGCCAGTCGATACTGGAGGTCACACAAATGGCAAAAACCCGCGTGGAGATTGAGGAGCGGCAGTGCGTTGCCGACAAGGCAGCCCGAAAAGAAGGTTCGTCAACACCATCCGCCAGCGGTGTCACTGCGCCAGCAGAAGGGGAGGAAGAGGACGCCGATTATGAAGATGGTGATAAGGATCATGATGATGTGCGGGAGACCGAAAAAGCTAATGCACAGGTCGCGTTGTTGAAGGGAGGTGCGGTGGCAATGACGCTGACAACGCGAACAATGATGACAATGATGGAAAATGCGACCAATACTGCTCTCCTCAACGCTTCTCCGCTTCACACCGTTGCAAAGTTCTCGGAAGGCATCAGGGACCGTGCGGCGCGGTGTGGTGTGCGCATCTCCGACGGCGAGCTGTACCCCATCTTCCTCGCTCTCTCTGATGGCGGGGAGAGGGTTGCAATCAGCGACATTGTGCAGCTTATTCTCGAAAAGCAGGAGGAGATGAATGTCCCCGAATGCAGCAGGCGCTGCAGCCAAACGAGGTTGCTGTGGCCGCACGATCACCCTATCTGCGCCTTGGATAGCTGTGGTGTTCCATACGATGAGCAAAGTGTCATGAACTTTGTAAAGAGTTTTCAGCGACGGCCCTACCGCGCCCAGGTAGGTGACTGCAGGGCTACAATGAAACAGACACCTGACGATGCACCAGAATCCCTCAACTATGTTGAGTTTTCAATGTTGATGCTCGCCCTGGCACGGCAGTAGGGCTATGTTCTCATCTTCTCCCCACATGTCCAATGATCTTTTTTCTTTTCCTTCTTGTTCATGTAAGCATCACGATTCAAATGGAACAATTGAACTTCCTGTCCTGTTGCAACAGAATGAGATGACTCTCTGAAGGGGTGGTC